GTGAGTGTGTGTGTGTGTGAGAGAGAGAGTGTGCACGCAAGAGTGTTCGCACAAGAGTGCGCGAGAGAAAGTGAGTGTGTGTGTACACAAGAGTGCACGAGAGAGAGTGTGTGTGTGTGTGTGAGTGTGCGCGCAAAAGAGTGTTTGCGTAGGAGAGAGTGAATGTGTGTGTGTAATGGTAAGAGTGCGTGTGTGTGTGTGTCCTCACCTTTGAGAAGAGTCCGAAACACGCCATGCGGCTGATGATGCAGTACGCCTCCGGAACACGAGCGCCGCAGCCGGCCGGCTAAAAACATTAAAATGATAAAAAAGTTTTTCGTTATAAACACTTTTTCTTTATTTTCAGTAATTGTAATCACTAAATATTATATTTAATATATATATGTCAAATATTACAACTTTTTACATCATTACAACTTCAATTTATTACAATTTTTTTTTATTTTTTAATGTTTATAAATATTCTAAACTATTTCATATTTAATAATTATGAATTATTAGAAGTATTTAAAAATGTTTACATTTTTAATGTTTATAAATATTCTAAACTATTTCATAGTTAATACTTATTAATTATTAGTAGTAATTAATATTTATTTAGTATTTTAAATTGTTTTATTAAATATTAAGAACAAATTATTAACATTTTAATTCTACTATGAAAAATGTTTTCCATTACAAATATTTCATATCATTTAAATATTGAATATTTTATATTAAATAGTTCTTAAATGTGTGATATTTTACATAAAATAAAATGATAAACATGTTTTCCATTATAAATATTTTCTTATTTTCAATCTTTTCAATAATTTCTTATTATCGAACTATTTCTAAACGCTATAGAGTATTGAATAAAAAAAGAATTACCAAATACTGTAAGCTATTTAATAAAACATAAATTAAATATATTCAATATTCTTAAACTTTTAGTATTTTAAATATTCTGAAATATTTCATATCAAGTATAAATATTCGAATTAATAATTATAAAAAACATAGCTAACATTATTATTATAAATTGATGAAAATATTCTCTCACTATAAACCTTTAAATCTTTTTTATTATTATAATTACTAAAAACTATAGAATATTTAATGTATGTAAAATCATATTAATTACATATTCAATATTTTTTTAATTGTAATATTTGTAAGTATTATAATACATTTCTTGTATTACATTTTAATACAAGAAATGTATTATAATACATTTCTTGTATTACATTTTAATACAAGAATAAATATTCTAATTAAACTTGATTAAAAACACATGACTAACATTGTAATTATAAAAAAAAAAAAATTATTATAAACATTTTCTTTACTTTTAATTATTATAATTACTAACTACTACAGAGTATTTAAAATAACAACTACGACAATGCTGAAGTTCACCAGCAGTCTCCTGCAGTATCCATTCCTTCGGCTGCCATCCACTTCAGTCAGAACGAACGAGAACGTCTCGCTGCAGAGAGTCAACCAATCATCAGCGTTACACCAACACACAGTCCTCTGATCTTCAACAGTAACACACACTGCTGCGCTTTTAAACACCGCAAAACACTGTCAGAGCGCCAGAGATTCACTCAGAGTCAGTCAGAGATTCACTCAGAGATTCACTCAGATTCAGCCAGAGATTCACTCAGAGAATCATTCAGAGATTCACTCAGAGTCAGTCAGAGATTCACTCAGAGAGTCAGATAGAGAATGATTCAGAGAGTCATTCAGAGATTCACAGTCAGAGAATGATTCAGACCCTGCGTTCCATTCGGAAGGGCTCATCCCTATGCTCTAATCCCTTCAAAGGGTTTACCCTCCGGAGTGAGAGCTTCGAAGGGTTGAAGGGAGTAGGGGACCAAACAACTGTTTCTTGAAGTGCCCTTCTGCATCATCATCCCGTGCCCACACGGAGGCACCGTCATCATGCAAAGAATCTGCGCAAAGGATCATGGGAGCCCGAAGTGTCCATCAGTTGTACCCTTCGAAATCCTTCATTCCGAAGGGCCCTTTGAAGTGGCCAGTTGTGAGCACTTCGGTTTGGAACGACCCTTCAATATGGCGGCCATGATTGTTTTCACTCCGAAGTGCCCTTCGGAGGGCGATATATCCCGTTTGGAATGCACCAAGAGAGTCAGATAGAGAATGATTCAGAGATTCACTCAGAGAGTCAGATAAATAATGATTCAGAGAGTCGGTAGGAGATTCACTCGAAGATTTACTCAGAGTCACTCAGAGATTCACTCAGAGAGTCAGATAGAGAATGATTCAGAGATTCACTCAAAGATTTACTCAGAGATTCACTTAGAGAGTCAATCAGAGATTCACTCAGAGAGTCATTCAGAGGCTGCATTCCAGTTTTTTATGCCCTTCACTCGCTAACTTCCCTCCGTCTCGTTTGCTCGGCTGTACGTCATTGATTACGTTGCATGAGTGCACACTACTGGCGGAACCCTTGCAATGGGCTGAACTGGAACGTCCTAAGCCCTTGATCACTTAGAATCCGCTATAGAGTTGGTTTATTGTTTACATGTTACCCCTTAGGAATTTGTTTGGTGCAGCATTCTATATGTATATAGGTCTGCTTGGGCTGTTATAAATGTTCAAAAAAATCATTTATATATTATAGAGTTGTTCGGGGTGGGGAGAGTCATTCAGAGATTCACAGTCAGAGAATGATTCAGAGAGAAAGTTTGTGGTTTTCTACTCGAGTGATTCATGATTCTTCACATCTGCTGTGTTAATGACTTAATGTTTGGTTCCATCAGTTTTGTTTCTTTGAAATCATTAACGGAAATAAGAGTCAGTCGTGTTTGATGAACGCCTGAACCTCGCAGCTCCTGCAGGCGTTTGTTTGCTGTTTCCATCAGATTCAATGTGCACAAATGTGAAATGATGCATGTGTGTGGTTACAGCAGAGGTGAAAGTGTCGCACCGGACGAGTGTGTGTGTGTGTGTGAGTGTGAGTGTGTGTGTGTGTGTGTGGAGAGTGTGAGTGTGTGTGTGCGAGTGTGAGTGCGTGTGTGTGCGAGTGTGTGCGTGTGAGCGTGTATGTTTGAGAGAGAGTGTGTGTGTGTGTGTGTGTGTGTGTGTGTGTGCGTGTGAGTGCGTGTGTGCGTGTGTGTGTGTACCTCCTGTATTCTGTCAGAGGAGCCCAGTTGATTCCCTCTGGAAAGCAGAAGAGATGAGCGGCTTTCATGCACTTCTCCTCTTCCTCGCGCTGCAGACGCTCCATTACCTCACGCTACACACACACACACACACACACACACACACACAATACAGTCAGTACTTTTAACGCACACACACACGCACACACTCACTGGTCTGACCTTGGGGAACTGGTAGGTGATGTGGGGCTCGTAATCTTCCTCGTTCCTCTTCTTCCTCAGACTGACCACCAGCAGATACTCGAAGAAGAGCTGACCCGTGTGACTGCGTCCTACAGGAGGCGCCGCGGCCGGATACACGCCAGGATCCGAGGAGCTGCGCTCTGAACACACACACACACACACACACACACACACACACACACACACACATGACATTTAACGACAGACTCTTCTGAGAAACACACCACTGACAAACCACAGGCAGAACAATGAGGAGGTGAGATGATCACAGACACGCTTTGTGCTGGAAACCTCAGAGGAAACAACACTGGAACATCTGACAGCAACATGCTCACATATCAGACATTAGAGAACAGAAAACTCCTCATCAGCTCATTTTTCACGTTCAATGTTCAATTCATACATGCATCGCATTATAGAGGCTCAGTGTGCCGTGACTTTCATCAGAAACACAGACACAAACCCGTCAACTCTTCAGCAGCAGACTTCTGTTTACCATCTCTGAAAAACTGACAAAACCTCCTCTGCTCACACTGCCAAAGATTAAAATCACAAAGAAATGCATATTTTATATGTGTTTATTCATTTTAAATATATATTTTTTTTTAAATGCAAAAAAGGTCAATATTTGTTAAAAATCTATATTTAGTGTTAATGAAAAACATATAAATATATATAAACATAGATGCATTAAATTACATTTAATTATTATAATTATATTTTAATTAAGTATGATATGTTAAAACGTACTGCTTTATTAAATATACAAATTTATGTATGAATATTTTTAATATTTTTGAACCATACAAAAATGAAATGACAAATTAAATTACAACTACATATATAAATTGTGTTTTTATTTATGTGTATATTTATATACATATATTTTATATATTAAATTAATTTTTATTATAAAATATTTTTGTTTAAATATTTCATAATGCTCTTTTCTCCTGAAGTGTGGAGAACATGGAGCTGATCTTCTTCATGGCTCCTTGATCCATGTCTACCAGAATAACACACACACACACACACACACATACACACACAAATTGATTGAGATCAGTATTGGCTCATTCCATGTTGGGAAATTCTCAGGAATTCAGGACTGAATCATCGCTTTCATTTTCAACTTTACTATCCAGATGCAAAAGGCCAAGCAAACACACAATGACAGGTCAAGAGAGAGAGAGAGAGAGAGAGAGAGAATGAGTGAGTGAGTGAGTGAGAGAGAGTGTGTG